CCCTTCAACCAAAGTTAAATTACAATATTTTACCAGTAGATAATAAAAAAAAAAATCTATGACCTAATTTCTCAGTATCACCCTGAATCGCTGTTGGTTGGTGCAATGATAAAAAATGCCTATATGTACCAACTTCCTAAATAATATCTATACTAAAGCTTCAACAAAATCTGTCGGTGACCGAAATCCATAAAAAGTGTGAGATGTTCTTTTAACTTTTATTTTGTTAGCAGTATAGAAGGAATTGGCGATAGCATGCAAAATGGTCAGAAATGGACCAATCTTGATGCAAATTTGAATCCGGAGACAGGGGCGTCGCGTCGGGGGGGGGGGGGGGGGGTACTGGGGGTAATTACCCCCCCCCCAGGATCGAATTATGAAGAGCAAAATCACGATGTCAAAAAGAAAATCCATAATATATTGAAGAAAATACATATTTGTTTTGTTTTATTTTTCTCAAAAATGAAATAATGGGCTCTTTCACTAAAATTTAAATACGTAATTTAAGTATAAAATCCCAAAGGAGGGACTATTTTAGGCATATATACCAAAAAAAAATGTTCTACAAGGTTAAATAAGTTTTTTACAGGCATTTTAAACTACCAATATTCAAATTAATCAAAAACGCGCCGATTTGCTGACGTCGCATAAATATTCTTCATTTCGCTGGTTGTTGCAAAGAGCTGATCGCCTCGGCTGTATTTATCCTGTAGTAAATGCAGCTAAAGGTTCGAATGCGCTGTTGTCGGTGGTGACTAAATGTAGTGCAACGTAAAATAAATAAATAAAACTAAACATAAAAAATTATATTAAATTGTTTTTAAGCATAATTTCAATAAAAATGATATAAAATGTTGAATCCATAACTAATTAATTTAACTACTTTTCATGATATTTTGCGAACATTTCAGAATTAAATCTATTACAAATTTTCAATGTAGACAATTAGTGGCAACACGGTCAAATTGCGAGCTGCGACGTCATAGAAATAAATTCTGGGTTTTTATTTGGAGGTATTTCTTTTTTCTCTGTTTTCTCAAGAAGGACTCTGAATTTTTCAAAAGTAAAAATACAGAAAATTCTGTTTTTACTTGCTTTATCCAAATATGCCAATTTCAAAAATTAGTGAAAGAGCCCATTGTTCTGGAAAAGTGAATGACCTTGAAATTTGCAGAATATTTCGCCTGCGGCGCGTTTTTGGAGGGCGCCCCCTCAGCTCCCCGTACCATTTACCCCCCCCAGACTACTGGTCACGCGTCGCCACTGTCCGGAGATTTCTAGGTTTAAGTTGTGGAATATGTCTGATGCTCGAAAAATAATATACATATAAGCTTGATAATAAATGTTATGTTCATCAATTATTGTTGAATGTGAATGCTAAGATTCTTAGGTCCATATTTGAAACCATTGGTCATGTTATTTTGAATCATCTGAACACATCTTACCATCTTAGGACTGGTAATTAAAGTAGGTACCTGATAAATTGAAGTGTAGTACTATTATTCCAATACAGGTCAATAATACTTTACTATGGACGCCAGTGAATTTCGCCCAATAAACACATTGGTACTTATAGAAAAGATTTAGGAGATGGCAGTGTATGATCAAGTTTTGGAACATATTACAAATAATGGAATCCTGATAACTAACCAGCTGGATTTCGCCGCGGGCACTCGTGCAAATCCGCTCTTCAGTTGACATTATCTAAGATCACAAACGATGTTGATACTAATAAGTTTGTTGTTTTGGGAGTATTCTTGGATCTAAAGAGAGCATTTGAAACGATAGATAGGGTGATTTTGTCGAGGATTTTGTTGTCAAAATTGAAAAATTATGGTATTGCTGGACCTCTGTAGACTTAGCCCCCCCCCAAATTAAAATTTTTGATTTTTTCCACTCTCAATCGTTTGATAGTGATTGATAGTCGTGATAGATCGTTTGATAGCGATTTGTTCCAGAGTTATCATCAATTCTTTTTTTATGTGTATTGTCAGCCCCCCCACTGTGTCAAAAATTACTGATTTTTTATAAATGATTCGTCACGACTGTACGAGGTGATAGTTTAATATCAACGTTTGATAGTTGAGTTTTCATTAATTTTTTATCAAGCAATTTTTCTTTTTGATGTTTTTAGCTCCCCACTTTTTCTAAAATTATTATTATTATTTTTAGCTCTTTGGCCACGACTGTGCAAGATTTGATAGTTTGGAAGTTTAATATCAACGTTTGATAGTTGGTCTTGAATCATCATTCATTATTATTATTAAGGTAATTTTGAATACCTAATTGCATTTTTTCTACATTTAATTAATTATAGGGAGAGCCTCGGGTAGAGCTCGAGAAACTGTTGCCAAATGTATCGTAATGAGTGCTAGTCTTTGTAAGTTGATATTTTACACGAAAAGAGCTTATCCAAACTTACACGTCCTTATAAATTATAATAAGTTCTAGTATTATTATTAGCACTTATTATGAGGGCGGGTTAGTTTAGGTTAATTTGCATTAGCTTTTTTCGTCTAAAATACCGACATATAAAGACTAGCATTCATTACGAGGACGGGTTAGTTTGTATTAGCCTTTTCCGTCTAAAATACCAACAAACATAGTTCTAGTCTTTGTTTGTTGGTATTATAGACGAAAAAGGCTAATCCAAACTAACCTATCCTAGTAATAAATGCTAGTCTTCATGTCGGTATTTTAGACGAAAAAAGCTAATTCAAATTAACCTAAACCAACCGGCCCTCATAATAAGTGCTAGTCTGTGAATGATGGTATTTTTGACGAAAAGAGCTAATCGAAACTAACCCGACTTCGTTATGAATGCTAGTATTTGCGTCTTCGTATTTTAGACGAAAAGAGCTAATCCAAACTAACCCAAACTAACCTGTCTTCATAATAGGTGCTTGTCTTTGGATGTTGCTATTTTGGAGGAAAAGAGCTACCCGTCCTCATATAATTAGACTATCCAAGATGCTGTCAAACTTAAATTAAAATGTCCGCCAAGAGGCACACAAACCTTGTTTGCTTGTCAAAGTCACGTATTTTGGATAGGCAAGATGCTGTCAAACTTAAATTATAATGTCCGCCAAGAGGCACACAAACCTTGTTTGCTTGTCAAAGTCACGTGTTTTGGATAGGCTAATAAGTGCTAGGCTTATGTTGACATTTTGGACGAAAAGAGCTAATCTAAATCTTGAACCCGTCCTTATAATAAATGGCAGTTTTTGCCAATGACACCGTCTTTGCATGTTGATATTTTAGACAAAAAAAGCTATTCCAAACTAACCCGTCCTCCTGATAATCTTTTAAAAAAAATATGTATTTATCAAACGATTGAGAGTGAAAAAAGTCAAAAATTTTAATTTGGGGGGGCTAAGTCTACAGAGGTTATTGCCGGTACTGTTTTGAATGGGTTTGCAGACTATTTAAGTAATAGAAAAAAAGTAAGATTCAATGGAGAGGTACCTATCTATCTACTGAAATAAGTAATATTATGGGAGTACCGCAGGGGAGTGTGTTGGGACCTCTTCTTTATCATACTATATACATCAATGATATCAATATGTTTGCGAACTGTGAGTTTATAAATCTTTTTGCCGATGACACGATGATTTTAGATACTCAGGTTCACGAGCCTGATCAAAAGCACTGACTATGAAAACAACGAACTATACTTCAACAAAAATCCAAAATATTTTTGTGCCAATGGGTAGTGGAAAACCTGCACCAGGCATTCTTGGATGGACAAAACTGCCACCCTTGTACCAGTGGCGTAATTACTGATTTTATCTATGCTGGGTCTTTTTGACCGACAGGCGTGTACTCCCGGGTTAATAAAGATATATTCCATTTCATTTCATTCCATTTCTTCATTCTGTTAGAAATTTCTGATTTGAAATATACCTAGTTCCGAATAATTTAGAATGATCCTCGGAGTGTTCAGTTAGAAGATGGCAACTCCCACCGAACCATGAACCATTTATAATAATTAATTTAAAAAACAAAATTATCTTCCACACACGGATATTTTTAGAATATCGAAAAAACAAATGTTTGCCGAATGGTAAAATATTTTTACCTAATTAATCAAAATGAAGGCGACAGTTTTGAACTTAGGTTCCCAAAAATTCGTAAAAACTCATGGTTTTACATCGAATCAAAATCACACAGTCCTTCAATTGAACTTACCTTTTAGTTTAGATTTAAAAAAAAAACATTGTTTTAGAAAAATTTTATTAAATAATATAACTCTTAGATTGTAGATACCTGTAAAAACCCAAATCATTATTGATCTTAGTAATTAGAAAGAAAAATATAGAATATAAGTAGATATAAATAAATGGATGAACAAAAATAGAGATGCTGGCCAGTTGGTTTAAACCAGAACCACTGAACTTATTAAAAAAAAAGGGAATCTGAAAAACATTGTACCTACTGCCGGTAGTGGGAGATAGAGAATGATAAAAATGGGATGAGTCGATGAATATAGATAGAAAGGAAGGTGGTACATCTTGACACACTGGGTGAATACTTCTCACGAGAATAAATGGTCAGATTGGGACGATCAGGAATTCGTTTCCATTGTGTGCTTCGAATAAAAAAGCGTTTCCGATAATTGTAGAGATCAAGTATCAAAGTCATGAATAAAAGCGCGTAGTTTGAGTTAGTTGTTGTTGGGTGGTGAGGAAAGTGCTTGATGAAAAGTTTAAGTTTTGACTTGGGATTTGGTTAACAACAAGGCTTTCAGTCTAAGGAGCAGTTTATCAGTGGGCGACTATTTAGTTTAGCTACCGACAGCTGAACTAAATAACCGTCCACTGTTAAACTGGTCCTTAGTTAAGGTCCTAATCTAACGGTGATGAAACATTTTTCACCTTGGAATATTACTATTACTATATTGGTCGCGCACTTTTTACAACTGTTTGCAATAGTTTTGATGACATCAACTCATTGTTTTTGCCGCAAATCACTGTTCTCTAGTCTAGATGCTTTGATGCTTACTATGGATAAGACTGTTCTTGATTATCCTGTAATATTTTGTCAATAACTTCTAAAAATTCACGTTTACATCTCCTCTTTTGAGAAGCATTCATTAATTCCATATCAGGAAGAAGACTAAGTAAGAATTTTTGATCTGCACTTTCATTCGGATTGCATAATTTTGCTCGTTTTGCATCAAAGTATTCTGCAATTGATTTTTCTGCATCTGAACTATTTTTCCTTTTAGGTAAAGTTGTACGAGTAGCTATTTCTCGTTTTACTCTAAAATCTGTTAATGTCTCATTTAAGAGTGGGTCAGTTTCAGTTTCATTCAATTGAGATTCAGTTTCAAATTCTGGCTCAATTCCTTCTCCAGTTGGTGTCATGCTGTCTTCTGCTGCATCATTGCTTTCGTTGTGTTCAGGATCAAATTCTACACCTAACTTTTCTGTTTGTATTTGACTATTTTTAAGAAAGGGAAGGAGAAACTGAAGAGCATTTTCCAAATAGTATTTTTTCTTGTTGCGTCCAACTAGTCCATATGCTGCTGTTTTTCTAAGATGTCGTAAGAACACAGTCCGTATATTTTTCCAGCGTTCTTTACAGGTTTGTACTGAAATAAAATTATGTCATTTAAATAAATTTAATAATGTTTGCGCAAGTTTAAAGTCATAACACTCATAACAATGTAGGCAACCGACTGAAACTCATACTGGGTATTGAAATCAAAACATGATTTATTGTCCAAAATACGTGGTATTTATTGACAAAGCTTTAGAACTAATTACCTACATCAATTTAATAGGAATACAGTCCAATTCAATTTAGAACAAGCCATAGTAAAATAATAATGTCAGCGACAAGACAGAGTGAAAATATAGACATCAAACGTGACCACAATTTAAAATGTGTCCCGAAAGTATTCTTCTACCAAATAGTATGTTCGAGCTACCAATAATTTTTTCACCGTGCTCTTGAACCTCCTGTCAGACTGTTACACGCGAATGTCAAGTGGTAGGTGATTCGATATATCTTTTTGGAATCGAATATCACAGAATTATGAACTAGGGTGGATGTGGGTATGGGGAGACGGAGCTTGTCTTGTCCTGTAGCTTGAGTTATTCTGATCATTGCCTATGCTGTATTGCTGTGTCGATGTTTGCTATACATCAAACACGCCGTTCATAAAATAAAGATAGAGGGGAGGGGAAGTAGGTATGTTATTTGACCTGAATAATGGACCACAGAAATCACAATAGCCCAGACCTGCGATCAAATGAATGGCTCTCTTTTGCAAAATTAATACAGATTGAAACAAGGTTTTGTTGCAATTATCCCAGCAAAAAATATACACTTCTTGCGCAAGAAGCGTCTCTAGATGTCTGGATACAATCCGCAGAGTAAAGTACCCTGGCAAGTTTGCCGCAAAAAGCAGAAACATGCCCATGATAAGACAATGCCCTATCAATATGCAGCTCTGAATAGAGCACTCAGACTCAGAAACTCCATGTCCCCCTATCTCAACAGCACTAAGTAAACCTTTAAAAGTCAGAATGTTGGTTTTACATATATATGATGTCATTTTAGAACGTCTTTCTTCGTCTTTCGACACCTAAATTCCATCCTCTTCTATCGTCGCAATCCTTTGATGAGAGATTTCTTTCACGCATGGACTTTTATATGGTCTTCTGCCATTCCAGTTTTGGTCTTCCTCGTTTTCTTCTACCTATTGGTTGCCAATGCATCATTTTTCTGGGCCACCTGGTATTTGGCATTCGTTCTACGTGTCCATAGGTACCAGGTAAGTTGTTTCCTTTCAATGTCTTGAACTATCATGCCTTCCATTCCCATTTGTTGTTTTATATTTTCGTTCATTATTCTCTCTCTTCGTGAGATTCGCATGGATCTTTTAAAAGCATCCATTTTAACTGCTTCCATTTTTTTTCTTTTGTCTGTCTGGAATTCTCAAATTCTCGGCTCCATATAGAAGGCTGCTCTTTATCATTGTCTCGTATATATTGAATTTTCTCTTCTTTGTTATTTCCTTGCTCCATAAGATTCCATTTAGGCATCCTATTACTTTTTTAGCTTTAACTATTCGCTTTTCTATTTCTTTCACTTCTGTTTCGGTGTTGCCCAATGTGATACCTAGATACTCATATTTTTGATATTGCAGAATTTCCTGACCATCATCCAATTGCAAGTTTCTGTTCTGGGTGCTAACACATAGATATTTTGTTTTATTTATATAAACTCTCAGGCCCTATTTTTGGTAATCTTTTATCAGCTTTCTAATTAGATATTGCATGTCCTCTTTGTCACTAGCTACTATGACCTGATCATCTGCAAACTGAAGAGTAAACAGGCACCTATCATTTATCTCTATACCCATTCCAAGGATCCTTCTCTTCCAATTTTTCAGTGCTACTGCTACGTTTATTTTAAAAAGCGTAGGAGAAATACAACATCCTTGACGTAGTCCTTTATTCACTATGAATGTGTGTGAGTTTTTACCTGTCTTAATTTTTGATTTTGAGTCTTTATATAGTTCTTTAGGTGCCATTATATAGGTGTGATTGATGTTGAATTGTTGTAATACCTTCCATTGTCTGGATACTGAGACTGTATCGTATGCTTTTGTAGGTCCACAAATGTGAGGTGGGTTTTCAAATGTCTAGCAGATCTCTTTTCTGTGACTTGTTTTAGGCCAAATACGTTGTTCGTACCTGAACTTCCTCCTCTAAAGCCGGACTGCTTCTCTTCTTTCTCTTCACAATCTTTTTCAATGAGATCACGCAGGATTCTATCGTATAATCTGCTTAGTGTGCCCCATTTCAGCATTTTGGGAGTAGGTATATCATTCTTTGGTATATCCCTTCTGGGCCGCTAGCTTCACTCGACTCAAGATTCTTAACAGTCCTTTTTACTGTTTCTTCAGATATTTCTCAACTACTTCTCCATGTACTTCAATATGTATTGGAGAATCTAATATATGTATATTTCGGCTTCTTTCTTGTTATAGACTCTTGTAGCTTTCTATCCATTGCTCTGGTTTAATAACCTGGATATTAGCTCTGTCCTTTCCTGGGTTTTTGACATTTGATATAAGTCTCATCCATAACTCTGAGCATTTCCTCCCTGCTATATTATTATGTAAGTGCTGGTTTTCCAATGTTAAAAGAAAGCAAATTAGAGTTACACCATATTATCTCACCCTCTCAAGGTCATTTTCAATAATTCCATTCGCGGCGTTTTCCGCGTTCAATTAGAAAAGCAAGGTTTACAAAAATGAAAACATTGCTTCGTTGGTGACAACACTGTTCAGGAAATCGTACTCGTACTATGCGGTCTGGTCACAACAATATACTGCGCCTGTGCAAAAACGATAACATTCTTGCCTTCACGAGCTTCTCGAGGATCTTGGAGAGACTACGCAATGCAGCAATTGGCCTAAAATTTCCCGGATCGTCCCAGTTACAGTTCCCTTGAGGACTGAGAATACTAAAGCAGCTTTTAGACTTTCAGGAAATGTGCCACTACAAAAAAAAGTAATAATAACGGCAATGTATCCAATGCTCTATCAGACAGACTCAAGAAGATTTTTAGCGATATTTTATTCTGACCAGAACCATTTTCATTTTTGGTCTCTCGGAAAACACCTTCCAACTCATGAGTGTCTGTTGGTGGAAAGAAAAAAAAAATCGAGGGATTTAGAGACTTTGGATTCGACATGGATAGTCTATCTCCAACACAGCAGTAAAACCCCGCCACGAAGGGCCAGCTCCGGTATTTCCCCCGGAAATCTTGTGCCTAGTTTTGTTGCCCAATAACAAATCGTCCATAATATGATTAGCACGCTGTCATGGCTTGCTTCCGTTCATCTCGAATATCTACAAAAGGCTGTGTTACAAGATTGTGCACAGTTTCCCGAACCTGAAAATTTTGTAACAATGCTCTCTTCCTCCCCTCTGTATAAGGCCAGCCTTTCTACGTGTACAACCTTAGGCTTGGCTTTCAGAGAAAGTTGAATCCTGTACATCAAATCGTTGATCTTCTTAATGATCCTGTATTGTATGGCTATGCTTCGTCAATTGCTTTGCTATTTGTTAACAGCTTCTATAAGCCAAAAGGGGTACCAGCTTATCCCAGTTTTGATGGTGGTCATGCAATGATGTTGTCCAGGAACGCTTCAGCAACTGTAACCGCTTCTTGATTGGGAATTTGAACAACTTCTGGTCACTTTGAAAAATACTCCCAAGCAACAATACTTGCTACCCGAATCTGTTGTAGGAAAAGGACCCGCAATTTCTATTACAATTCTCTTCCAGGGGATACCAGACAAGTTCTTCTTCATTTTCCATTGGATCCTTTCTTCGAAGCACATATGAGGTCGTATCTTCTGCACCATTCTTCAATATAATTACGACAGTTGATCCAGTAATACCGATCTCTTAGTAAAGCCAACCTCGTATTGACTCCAAACCGACTACTTTGCAGTTCACGTAACACTCTCTCCACCATGTCCTGTGGCTTAAAAATCTGATATACTACACACTTTTTCCATCCCCACTTTTCCATTTACGAGTGATTCATCTCTCATAGGCACAACAAATCCTATTAAAGCTCGTACCCCTTTGCCGTTGGACCGAAACTGGAAATTTCTTGCCATCCAGGTCGTCGTCCGTTTGCTAGGCAGCAAAATTTATAATCCCTTATCATCATTTTATTCCTTCTCGAAGTCTTCCTTCGTAATCCGTTGTCAGTATTAGTAGATAACAGTTTCGATATTCTTAGCTTCCACTTGTTGAACAAATGCGGGATTTCTGACTGCTTCTTTTTTCCGTCTTGCCTTTGGAAAAATTTGCACGAGTTGTTGCTACAGAGGTCTATCGGCTCTCTGGGTTCTAGTTAGGATCTCGTTTTCATAGAGAAAACTGTGGTAATGCTGAATAGATCTTGGTTATTGCCAGATGTTCCTTTCGGGTGACACAATACTTTCGCGCAGTGATCTGATAAAATATCCGATTTCTGGTTAGATATGTATAATAATATGTCTTTTTCTCCCACAGACGTAACACTTTATAGGTTTTCTTTCTTTTTTTTGTGAAAGAATGTCTACTTCTCGGTGTTCGGGCTTTTTTTGGATATCCCGACTTCCCTAATTTTGCGAGGCGTTTTTGGCAGTTTTATGCTCCGATGCATGAACAACGGTTTCGGCAAGAGTTTGTTAGTTACTCCATCGATAGTGCACTGGACGCCTCTATTTTGTTCAATGAAGTTCTCTAGAACTTCTGGATATGCCAACCTGGCTAAAGCGCCTGCAACAGCTGCAATCGACCTGTTTCTTCTCTTAATCTTCCATTTATTCACTCATTTATCCCACATTTGACACCAAATGTTACGTGAGCGAGTTCGCAGGTACGTGAAACTACTCTTCCAAAATTAATTTACCTTTATTCAAAACAATAACACAAAAATTACCACGAAACTACTAAGTAGCACTATTACAATACTTTGTTCAACTACAATAAAGCTTAACTAGTCACAACCACTGATTAACTTATTCTCGTTAAGTCAACACTAAACTAATTCTTGGCATACTGGAGTCTAATTTATAGCACATCGTTGCTTCTAGAATTGTCTAGATAATTTGCTTTCGTTCCTTTCAAATGTGCTGGGTTATTGCGCGAATTGTGTTATCCGGTGTACTTTTGCAAGAATAGTCACATTTGCCCCAACTTGAGAGGTAACATTACGATGTTTCATTTAAAATGCACAACTAGTTACATACAACTTATAAGGTAGTCACGTACGGTAGATGATTTAAAGGCAGATACGGTAACATTTAGGTTCGGTTCATTCACCTTCAAATAAACTGCCATCAGGTAATGCAATCTGACGGACAAAATCGCAAACTATAATCCTATTGGTCAGCAGGATATTAGTTTTAAATCGTATATTTGTCTTGTAGTCTGTAGACAGTAGGAACAAAACATATAAGCCTGGAGTTAATCCATAAGTATGTTAGTGTGGAGGAGCCATATCGCACGCTTGGAGAAATATTAGCGGGGTACTTCGAAAAACGTCAGAGTGTATCTTGCAATTTTGCCAGTATTAAATCAACGGATTAATGTTCATTATCTATTTTATAGGTGATAATTTCGTTTAAAACATAATTATAAATCTACTCATTCAATGCAAAATATAGAAAACATCTGCCCTACATGCTAGTGAAAATATGGAAACGATATACTTATCAGTAAAAAATCTAGAAGTAGAAATAAACTATTTGAATATATAAAAACCTACCAGATTCGCACATGATTTTAGAAATTTCTAGCCAGGCCTCTTCCCTGATGTCCGGACGGTTGTAAGATTCGTGTTTAACGTTATATAAACACGAGTGGGTTTTCACGAGAGCGACAAAATTTAAACTTTTTATCCTCTCGTCCATCGTGTGACGCGCTCCCTAAGCGATTTTAAATAAAACTGGCGCCTGCTGGCCCTGGCGACGCGACCATGACGCGGACTGCAGAGTTGCAAGCAACCGGTTTCTCATTGATTGCGTTTGCCGTTAGTTGGGGGTCATATAGTAGTCCAGTCGTTTTAACCCAATAATAGGCCAGTCAAGCTAACCTCTGCAAAAAATTGCGAAGTTCAATTTTATTTGATGAAAATGTCGAAAAATCTTCAAAAATCAATTATCTGAATTTTGCACACAAAGTTTCGGCCAGGACTATTATTTAAAAAATTAAAAATAGTTTTATTAGCATTAAATCCGCGAAAAAAATTGCGATATTTGTGCAAATCATGACAAACCATTCTAAAAATGTTTATACAAGTTCTATCAGCTTGCACACAAATGTGGTGAGGGGAGCATTATAAACAATTGTTTATAAACTTTAAAGTGGAATAAAGTATATAACAAAAATTGCGAAATTAGTGCAAATTTGTTTATATAACTTTATATACCATATCGGTTTGCTATTTTGCACACATTATTTTTGACTGGAACATTTTTTTATATTTTTTTTTCCAATTTTAGCCGAAATTGAGGCAAAATCCAACGGAAGTTGTTGATATTACGGACTGTTTAAATATTTACACTTTCTTACATTTGCACATTCCAAAATGACCAAGAACTTGTTTAAATTAGAGATTGTTTAAATAATAAAAGTTATAACATGCGAACAAATTCCGAAATAGTTGCAAATTTGAATTATTGTTAGAAGGATTCATTCAGACACTTTGTTACATTTGCACACTCCAAAATGACCAAAAACTTGTTTAAATTAGAGATTGTTTGAATAATAAAAATTATAACATGTAACATGTGAACAAATTCCGGAATTATGGCAAATTTGCATTATTGTTAAAACGGTGTTGCATTTGCACACTCCAAACTGAGCAGGAATTTTTTGAAACTAGGGATTGTTTAAATAATACAAATTATAACATGTGAAAAAATTCCAAAATTGTTGCAAATTTGAATTATTGTTAGAAAAAGTAATCTAGACAGTTCCTTTGCACGCTCCAAAGTGACCAGGGACTTGTTGAAATTAGGGGATTTTTTAAATAATATGAATTATATGCGAAAAAATTCCGAAATTTTTGCAAATTTGAAAATTGTTAAAACCAGTCATTAAAACACTCCAAATATCTCTCTCGCCTTCTTATTTCACATACCGAGTGTTTCTGGAGACTGAGTGCTTGTCCCTATGATTGTAATGTCTGTAGTATCCTAATTTTATTCTCAAAATTCATTAGGCAAAAATGTGGATTGTATGGTGAATATTAGATTGTTCGAAATAATAATTAGGGCCAGAATTGGAGCTGTGGAGGCCCAGTGCCATCTTTATGAATGAGCCAGCTGGGCCTTGGCCCAGGGCGCGATTTTACGTTTCCGTGTTCAATTCAGACCGACACGGTCTTGAAATAAACACGGGAAAGTATTGCAATATTCATTGGCAAACCCGTGTTGATTTCGAGGCGCCAGACAATGAACCACGCACGGATTTGTTTGGAAAAAAGCCGTATTTGTTCACATCCAAATTCGTGTTGATTTTACACTCTTCCGTGAACTATGTTTGGAAGTAGTTGTTTAGTTAGTGCATTTTCTTTAGAAACAAAGACAAATTGGATAATGAAGCGTCGATTCCCTAAACCTGTACGTTACGAGTTCCGAAAACAATAGGAAAACTAGGTAAGTTTGTCAACTTGCAAACAGAAACAAATCGGAAAACCAGACAATTTTTTAATTAGGGGCTCCAATTACCCCCTAAAAAGCACCTAATTATTATAAATACCCCGAAGTTTTTTCCCATTCATGAAATCACTTTTATAGTGTTAGAACATTTAAAATAATTTTGTTCCATTGCTCTAAAGGTAAAGGTTTGTGATGAGTACTTTCCCAAAAAAAATTATGTCATTTTCGAATGTATTGTCCTTTTTGTGTAACATCTCCGTGTTCAGTACCAAGATGCTCATTGAAATGAAAACGGAAACGTGATCATGTACCGCCAGTCATTTTCGAACATATCCGTGCGTGGTTCATTGTCTGGCGCCCCGAAATCAACACGGGTTTGTCAATTCCCGTGTTTATTTCAACACCGCGTCGGTCTGAATTGAACACGGAAACGTAAAATCGCGCCCAGGGCCCCTTGTCATAAGGGGCCCCGTCGTTAATTTTTATAAAAAAGTATTCAAATAATAAATGATAATATCAATAATATCAAATGAAATATTATTCAAATAATAATTATTTGAATATAAATTAGGTGCTGTGTCCGACCATCTATCATTTAGGTATTTGCGGAACCTAATTGCTGTACTGAGCCATTAAATATTTAGAATTGTTTTGTTTTGTAAATGTCTTTTTAAGATATGACTTGTGACTTGTTTCTTGTAATACGATATACCTATTAAATATTATTATTTGGTTAGGCAAAGGTTACTTATTTGTTCGTATATGTACCTGAAAATATGTGTTTCATTTTGTTATTTTTGATATATACAGGGTGTCCACTTAGTGCGATTTCGGACGATATCTCCTTACAGGGTGATGCAAGAAAAAAAAAATTAAATTACAAAGTTGTTTGATACACTAATATACATTAGTTAAAAATATTTTTGAATATACAGGGTGCTCCCAAATTTAAAACTACCTAAGGCCTCGAGATGGCTAGAGACGGCCTTGTGGAGGCCCCTGGGTAAAACTCCTGTGGGGGCCATGACTCCTACCATTCAAAAAAAAAAGGAGAAAAGGGTTATTACTAGGTATAATTTTATGAATAATATTATGTATCATTGTATCTATTTTAAAATATTACAAAATACAAAACAACAAAACATTTATTTTATTTGTACAAATACAGAGTAAAATAATATGAAAAATAAGAATAGAGAGTTAAGTAATAAGATGTGTGATTAAAGTCCTGGCACTTTTCTAGATTTTTTTTTTTATTGAAAATTCATTGATTAGGTCGATAATATTCAATTGCTTTGAAACGAAGTGTTCAATGCTCATTATGGATAGATTAATTAAACGCTCTTGGCCCATCATAGACCGAAGTCTATTTTTAATCAGCTTGAGGTTTTTTGTTTTCTATTATTATTATTATAAGGTATTTATTGAACAATTTAAACATAATACAAATTTTGCATACATTAACAATAAATACAAATTACCCCACAAGAGTATTCTCGCGAGGGGGAAAAATAATTTTGCATTAAATTCCCAAGTAACATTTTTAGCTTTAAAGAAGTGTTAAGAGTTACTATAAAACCTAGAATAAAAATATTTTATAAAGCCATATTGCCTTAGCAACCATTAAAGAACCCTTTTAAAGTTCTTTTAAGACTACAAGGGCCCACCCCTAAGATTGCTTTAACAGCCTTTTATAAAACCTTATTAAAGCTTTGAGGTTTTCAAAGGCAAAGTTTTATAGCTATACAGACAGCGTCCATAAAACGTATTCCAAGTCTATGATAAAACTATTAGGCCGCATTGAAAAGACAAATGGAAGAAATGAAGTACAAATGGAATTTTTTTAAATAAAAATGGCAACAAAATTTATATTCTTAAAACTTTAGAGGCTTAACCAAACTTTATCAATTCTTCTACTTCGCCATAATTTCCCACAAACAAAATTTAAACTTACATCTGTAATGGGCGATCTATGATAACTATGAGTGGTATTAAAATATAATTCGCAGATAGACGTGATTCTGCATTGAAATTTATATATGTTACTGTAAATGCCCGAAATTCGGTAAAACCTAGGATAAGCGCGCTAAACCTAGGATTTACCAAAAGCAAGTGGTAGAAGTCCGAAAACTAGTTATTTTGCTTTCATTTCGGACTTTTACCGGACACAAACAGTAAATCTTAGGATTTACCACACCGCATTGGTAAAAGTACGAATGACACTGATACGTTACAGAAATTGATATCGTGAAACGATAATCGTCAAGAAAATTTCTGTCCTGGAGATGTTCCATCTCAGGAAATTAGGGTAAGAAGTGCAGTGCGAAAATTGTCGTTATGTAGTGGCCAAGGATTTAGGAAATGCAATTGCATTCGAAAATGTTCCACCAAAAGATGTTTGTGCAGATCCTCTAAATTACTCTGCAATTTTCAATACCATGGAAGTTTGCCCTGTATTTTTTTTTTTTTTTTTTTTTTATTTCATATTATAATATACCTACCTTGTTCCAATTGACTTTGGAAAAACCATACTCAATTTTCCAAAGTCAATTGGAACAAGGTAAACAGAAATCATAACTGGTGGCTGACTAGTGGCAGTGCATTTCTTATGGAAATTTTCAGTGACCAGTCAGCTATCAGTTGGTACCTTGTTCCAATTGAGTTTAGAAATACTATGCCTACTTTCTGCAATATTAGTACCTGAATTAATGTAACTATGATTTCTGTTTACAGTTTACATTCAAGAATATTAAAATAAAAAGTATTTTGGAGTGACTTTTTGTTTTATTTATAAAGTATCTTATTTTTAGGCATTGAAATTTTAACGATTATCGATTCACGATATCGATTTCTGTAACGTAGGTAGGTATCAGTGGTATTCGTACTTTTACCAATGCGGTGTGGTAAATCCTAAGATTTACTGTTCGTGTGCGGTAAAAGTCCGAAGTGACAGCAAAATAACTAGTTTTCGGGCTTTTACCACTTGCTTTTGGTTAATCCTAGGTTTAGCGCGCTTATCCTAGGTTTACCGAATTTCGGGCATTTACAGTAACATATACAAACCCAAGTTTACTGATGAAAGTGTACTTCAAAGGTTCAAATAACTCGTGGGCCTTGAAAAAACCCTAATTTTGACAAAAATATAAAAATACTAACAATGTGTCAATTTTTTTACACGTTTTATGGATATTGGAATCATAAATATGATGAATCAATTATAATAAGCTGTAAAATCATAATTACAATAC